GGGGACGGATCAAGCAGTAAGTGCTGTAAACATGTAAACATTTATTTAAAACAGAACGGTAATATTTATACTATTAACAATGTATATTTATAAAAGTGCTGTAAACTAGTAAAAAAATAATCAGGTACAAAACAGGAATATTTACAAAGGTAACAAATGGGTTTTGCATGATTTCTCTGTCTTAGGCTCTTCTCAATTTAGTCCCAAGTATTTTAAAAAAATTTCACAATGTCCGTTACTACATGATTCCCAGGCCCAAGACGCTCCACTCCAAAGTCCCAGTGCACCTACGCGAAAATCCGGTCAATGTGGCCGGGGATCGACGAGAAATCCTCGTAGGAGAACTCCTCGTAGGTCTCGTGGAGGTAGAGCTCAAGCCTGTTGATCAGGTTCCGGGGTAGGGCGATCTTAGTGGGCCCTCCGTGGTAGCAGACATGTCCCCTCCATGCCACAATCAGGTACTCGGGGATCATGGCCCGACATAGCATGGCGGCATACGGCCCCGGTTTCTGCATGCTTTCCCGCAGCATGCGTTCTCTCTGGGTGTCCGGGATCCTCAGGAGGGTGATGTCGCTCATGACGCCCTGCTTTGAATTAGGGAGGGGACTGTTAGTATTGGGACTGCTTTACAGCCACGCGGTGGAGGGAGAGGGGCAGCATACAGGGATCTTTCCCTGGGACAGCCGCGAGGGGGTGGGACAGGGGCAGAGTTGATGCTGTCCTGATTGCTGGCAGCAGAGACTGGCATTGCTTTCAATGTGAAAGGAGGCCAGTGCTACAGCTGGAGTTTTAAGCAGCCACAAGTCTGCGGCTTACCATTATTGCCCGCTCCAGAAGTTCAGGTCTCCAGCCACAGTTCTCTGAACACTCCAAGACCTCCGCAAGTCCACAGGCACTGAAGGCGACGGCCGAAAATTCGACCTTGTCCTGAGTGCGCATGTGAGAGGTTCAGTGCATGGTCTTGTTCACAGAGAAAGACTAGGTTCTTTGTATACAATTTCATTTATCTGTCTCAGGAATTCACTCCCTTTTTAAAATTCACACAGACACATCTGCGACTGTCTCCCAACCCAGCCTGTCAGCACACTCCCAGAGGCTAGCGCAGATTAGGCGGAGGAAGAAGAAGACGCGTGAAGACATGTTCACAGAACTAATGGGCTGCTCCCGAGCCCAGGCAGCCCAGCAGACACAGTGGAGGGAGAACTTGTCACAAATGCACCGAGCAGTCATGGAACGGGAGGAGAGGTGGCGTCAGGAGGACCAACAGGCTACTGAAAAGCTGCTTGGACTAATGAGGGAGCAAACGGACACGCTCCGGCGCCTTGTGGATGTTCTGCAAGACCGGAGGCAGGAGGACAGAGCCCCGCTGCAGTCTATCTGTAACCGCCCTCACCCGCCACCAAGTCCCACACCACCCTCACCCAAAGTCCAAAGAAGGAGGGGCGGCAAGGGCCGTTAAAACTTTCAATCAACCCCTGCAGACTGCTCTAGCAGTAGAAGGCTGACATTCCCCAAAATTTCATAAGTCCTTTCCTACCCACCTCACACAAGCCCCCGTCCAAGTTTCACCCCCCACGTTTCATGTCTGGTTCGCAATAAAATGTTTGTTTCTGTTCATTACTGTTTCGGTCAGGTTCTTTTGAGGGAGAGTCTGTCTGGAGGGGGGGAAGGGGCTTGGTAATTGGACAGGACAGTCACCTTTAGCAGGCTACAGAGGCGGGGTCAGGTCCAGCATCAGGACACATACACAGTGCAGTCACTGGTTACCCTGGTCAGTCTGGGAGGTGCTTTTCATGTTTTGGGGGGGGGGGGGTTGCTCTGTGACTTTGTGGCGGGGGAGGGCAGTTACAGATCTTATGCAGCGGTCCTTATCCTGGCTCACAGATCCACGCAGCAGGGGATCTGTAACCCTACCCCCCCTGCCAGAAAGTCACATAGCCGACACATACACACAGTCCCCCCCAGGAGTGCTGGCAGGCTCCATTGAAATAACCAGTCCACCAGTGCGGAGCCTGTCATTCCGGGAGTTTAGAAGTATCATTTGCATCAGAACACTGAACCCGCCCCCCGCCACAGTCTGCGTCCCCGGTTTAAAATATTCCCGCGAAAACAGCAATACAGACAACGGTGTTCATTAAAAAATCGAAATGATTTTATTTTTTGGGAAGGGGAAGGGGGTGAAGGTTGTATGTAACTGGAGAGGATAGTCAAAATGAACTGGGTAAAGAAACGGGGGCAGGTTCAGCTTTTCTGTCCACAAACTGAAAAGTCACTGGTTGCCCTGCTCACTCAGGAACCTAGCTTTCAAAGCCTCCCGGATGCACAGGGCGTCCCGCTGGGATCTTCTAATGGCCCGGCTGTCTGGCTGGACGTAATCAGCAGCCAGGCTATTTGCCTCTAGCTCCCACCCCGCCATAAAGGTCTCCCCCTTGCTCTCACACAGGTTGTGGAGCACACAGCAAGCTGCAATAACGATGGGGATATTGGTTTCACTGAGATCACAGCGAGTGAGTAAGCTTCTCCATCTCCCTTTGAGACGGCCAAAAGCACACTCCACCACCATTCTGCACTTGCTCAGACGGTAGTTGAACAGTTCTTTTTCTGTGTCCAGGGCGCCAGTATAGGGCTTCATGAGCCAGGGCATTAGCGGGTAGGCTGGGTCCCCGAGGATGACTGTAGGCATCTCCACATCCCCAAGAGTTATTTTGTGGTCTGGGAAGTAAATACCTTCCTGCAGCCGTCTAAACAGACCAGAGTTCCTGAACACGCGAGCGTCATGAACCTTGCCCGGCCATCCGACGTAGATGTTTGTAAACCGTCCCCGATGGTCCACCAGTGCTTGCAGCACCATTGAAAAGTAGCCCTTTCTATTGATGTACTGGCTGGCCTGGTGGTCCGGTCCCAGGATAGGGATGTGAGTCCCATCTATAGCCCCACCGCAGTTTGGGAATCCCATCGCGGCAAAGCCATCTATGATGACCTGCGCGTTTCCCAGGGTCACTACCTTTGGGAGCAGTACCTTCACGATTGCCTTGGCTACTTGCATGACAACAACCCCCACGGTAGATTTGCCCACACCAAAGTGGTTCGCGACTGACCGGTAGCTGTCCGGCGTTGCAAGCTTCCAGAGGGCTATGGCCACTCGCTTCTGGACAGTGAGGGCTGCTCGCATGCGGGTGTCCTTGCGCTTCAGGGCAGGGGACAGCAACTCACAAAGTTCGAGGAAAGTCCCCTTCCGCATGCGAAAGTTTCGCAGCCACTGGGATTCATCCCAGACCTGAAGCACTATACGGTCCCACCAGTCCGTGCTTGTTTCCCGGGCCCAGAATCGCCGTTCAACAAAATCCACATGCCCCATTGCCAACGTCATGTCCTGGGCGCTGGGGCTCGTGGTTTCTGACAGCTCTGTGCCACTCTCCGACTTCAGGCTCTCACGGCGGTGCCGTAGCCTCCTCGCCCGATTTCTCTGCATCTGCCTCAGGGAAAGGTGTATGATAAGCTGCGAGGTGTTGAGAACGGCCACAAGTGCAGCGATGGTCGCAGCGTGATCCATGATCGCAGTGCTGTGGCGTCCGCGCTGTCACTGACCAGAAAAGTGCGCGAACTGATTTCCCGCCGGCGCTTTCATGGAGGGAGGGAGGGCGTTAGTGACGGACGGATGACGACAAATTTTTTTTACCCAGAAGGCATTGGCGGCTCGACCCAGAATTCCGATGGGCAGCGGGGACTGCGGGAACTGTGGGATAGCTGCCCACAGTGCACCGCTTCCAATATCGACGCTCGCCCCGTTAGTGTGGACTCACAAAGTCGAATTACTGTCCTTAGTGTGTCCTTAGTGTGGACACACACGTTCGACTTTGCAATATCGATTCCACATATTCGATTTAAGTAAAATCGAATTACCCTCGTAGTGTAGACATACCCTGAGAGAAGAATTACTGCTGGTGGTGTTTCCTCAGCTTCAGGGCACTCCTGCGTGTATCAGGCAAACACTTTTGTTTTTAATGGCTGTCTAATTTGTAGAAAATATCAAATACAAGTGTGTGTTTTATTTATATCTGTATTTTTTTCAACACCCAGTTGGGAGCATAACACGACAATACTGGTCTTCTCAGGCATTTTTAGCACTTTTCAGTTCTTAGGAACTTAGTACACGTCAACCTAAGCAGCAGGGATCTGGTGCTACCCTTCTCCAGAAATTGAGCTGATATGTTTTGATCATAAGCAACCTAGTTTGTTAAAGGGACACTGTCAACTCCTTATACCCTAAATTACACTCTTGTGGGGGACTGTTCTGTTCCCTGCTATGAACTGAAATATTTATTTAAAATTTCATCACTCTTTTTGGGGGGATTGGGGTAGGGCAGAAGGAAGGAGACAATACCCCAGCAGTGCTGGACATTTTCAACAGTATAGCCCTGTATTAATGCACAAGAACCAGACAGTGACATCAAACAAAAATGACACTGATCAGACTGGTTTCACTGTTCAAGGCTGAAGAAATGCAAACTGTAATTGGTGGTGTAGAGCTTTCCCATAATTTTATTTCTGCTGTGTAGTTGGTCCTATTCTGGTACTAGGTGGACTGCTTGGCCTCTGCTTGCCCTCCTACTAGTCAGCTCCTCCTCTTGCTTCTTCCCATAACCCCACTCCACTAGGCCTCCCAAGAGCAGCTGCAGCTGTCTCTCTACCTAACCATAGCAACTTTCTGGCTGTTGCTTCAGCACCCTCTCTATCTGGTCCGCCCCAACAGTCTTCAGGCTGCCACTACAAGGTTGACTGTCATGCCTCATCCCCCTCAAAAGCACTCTGTCCTAGCAGGTAAGAGTCCAGGTTTTGTATGTTCAGGAGCAAGGAGTTTAAATATGGTTAGTAATACAAATAAGAGTCGTTTTAAAACAAGTTACCATGAGTGTCCGCTGCCTCCCCCCCGCCCCCCAAAAAAACTATTAGCGAATTGAGAATTATTACTAATGCTTCTTGTTTTTACTCTCTTGCAGTCAAATAAGGTGCCAGTGGTGCAGCCTTCACATGCAGTTCACCCTCTCACCCCACTTATCACTTACAGCGACGAGCACTTTTCTCCAGGGTCACACCCTTCACACATCCCCTCAGATGTCAACTCAAAACAAGGTGAGGCTACTTCTAACAACTAAAGGAAAGCACAAGAAACAACTGTGAATGCTAGTTTTGGAGCTCTAGTACCCTGAAGCCCGCCAACATATCAAAGGATCTATTCTAAATCCTGGTTTCAAGGGTCTCCTAATTTAGCAAATTATCTTCCTCTGAAACTTGACATGTAATGTGTTGGTATGGGACAACTATGCTTGCCTAATATAAATATCTTAACTGGCTCTTTAAAGTTGGAGGACAACGCGCATTTTTATCACTTTGCCTTATTTTGCTCATCAAAATATTTCAAAATGATTAAAAAAAAATTAGTCCTTGGCGCCCCCTGTTGTGCCCAAGTATTGCAGCACACAGACATATGAAATCTCAATGATTTGAGACACAGGAAGGTGAGTTGAATTATATATTTAAAACCTTAAGTTCCTTGTTTTGTCAAACTTGTATTTCATGTCCTTATTTCCTTCCCATATTTCATCATATTCCAAAATGTAGTCCCATGCAAGAGGAAGGTTCTTAGTGCCCTTTCTCTCCTTATTGTCACTTATCTTAATTGAGTAGTGGTCTGTAAAATACACGTGTAGTTTTCAGAACACACAATTTGAGGCAATGTAAGTATAACAGAATCTTGGGCATGTAGTTGAACTGTGTAAAATTTCTAATCTTGCAAAAAGACTGATTTTTAGATGTATGCATCTTTAGATGTCAACTATTTCTTTTTGCACGTAAAACATTCAAAACCAAATAGTTTTGTAAGTTTATCTCCTGGATGTAGCGGCCATTGAACAGATTTACAGTTTGCTGGGCAGCTTTGTCCTGCAACACACAAACACAATGTCACTGAATGCAATTTGTGGGGCTTCACTGAAAGACTTGAGAACATCTACACATCTTGTTTAAACCAGGGGTGGTGATGGTTTTCACCGAAAACCATATGGGTCTTGATTAATTTAGTCTCATGGTTCAATTGCATCTAAAACGTGGTGTGGGAGTGCACTAACCTGGATTGAGACAGGTCACCAGAAGTGAAGATTCACAGAACGCGATGGAGACGAGTGGATTTGAGAGCAAGGAAACAAGCTCCCAATGAGATCCCCCAAGAGGGGAAGTGAGAAGAAGGGGAGTGTGGTGTGGTGAGGGCAGGGGATTGGCAAGGACAAGGAAGGAGCAAGCGAGGTGGGTAGATGCTAGACACAAGAGGCACAGTGATGAACAATGAACAAGGTGAAGCTTGGGAGAGTGGAGGAGTGATCCAGGGCAGAAGATAGTGGCACAGCATTTGGAGATAAGGAAAAGAAGAACAGAGGGTTCAGGGGCCAGGGTAGCCCAGCAGATGGAGCAACAGAGGCACAGATATAACGGATGCTATTATTATTAAAACAGGTAGTTAGGAGGCTGTAGAAAAGTCTCTTGCTTCCCTTGGATGTTAGGGCAGCCAGTACCACTCGGAGAAGAGAAAGCAGAGCTCCTGGCCCTCCGTAGAGGGCCTGCTCAGAGGCTGCTCCCTTGGGTCTGTGATGGTCATGGTCTCTACTGGGGAAACAAAGGCAGCAAACTTGGCCTTGTGGAGGGACTGGTGGCAGCTGGCTCAGGTTGCGTAGGGGACTAGCTATGTGCGTAAATCCATAGGTTGCCTCCCTTGGTTTCAATACTCTTGTATACGCCTGGAGGACTGCCAAGCTGCACAGCTAGAATGTGAAGGTCCATTGAGTTCTGGACTGGGGTCCTGGTGCAAGCCCATCTCTAGACAAATCGTTGAGTACTGTCAGTATTGTCCATTTGAGGGAGGTTTTCTAAACTCCTCCCATGTATCCTTTGTGTGCTCATTGTCCTTCCTATGCCAACAATATCAATGGACTGTATCCAAGATCCAGTCACACTCCTGTGTGATTTCTGTTTCACTCCTAAAAGTCTAGCTTGTGAGAGAGTCTGAACTTAAGCATTGGGGCAAGCAAGTATAGACCAGGGCACTACTCCAGCTCCTGCAACATGGACAATAGTACTGACTCTGCTGGCCTTGTGAGTCTTGCTCTCCGGGCATGAATGCAGAAGATAAATATGTATATGAATTAATACCTCAGGGACTTTCAACAAATTACTCAGTCCCATTGCTATGATGTGCCCCCATTATGACACTGAAGTTTTATCCCTTATGTCAGAGTTGTCAGCCTGTGGTGGCTCATTGGGTGCACAGCACGGGAACTCAGAAGATGTTGAGACTTCAGCCAGGATTTGCTTTTCATTTGCCTTTCTGTACTACAGTTATTTTCCTCTTGTGCCCACCATAGGCCCTAGCTTAAAGTCCTCCCGTACTTATTTTGGTTCCTTGCCAGCTCTTTCTTGCCCTTAACACAAGGCATAGATCCTATTCTCACTGAACTGGGGGATCTTACGGTGCTCATGCCTCTTAACAGATGAAAGGTTGCTGGAGGTGGGAATGAACGAGAAGGCTGGAGGCCTCTGAGGTGACCAAATATTCCACGGTTTTAGTCAAACTAGGTCTCCCAATTTAAATACTATCTGTGCACCAGAACCTAGTAAACTGTAAAATGACCAGATGTTCCCGGTAAACTTCAAGAAAGTTTGCTGTCATATGCTTCCATTGGTGTTTGTGTCCTACCTCCTGGTTACTCTTTGAGCTGAGGACTCGATAAAATGAATTGCTTCAGATCCTAGTTTCTGGGTGTCCTCTGCTCAGGGCTCTGCTAGTCCTTGGCATCTGGCTGTGGGACTTGCTGTCTCTCTGGCAATGGTGGTATGTTACTCAGCAAACTGTTAGCTCTTGCTGCACTCTTCTTTCAAGGTGCCTTGTATTATGAGGTCTGGGAACATGTGGTACAGAATTGGCAAGAGTTATGCCGGCTTTGAACTGGTTTCGCCATACCCAAATCATTCTTAACTAAAGGCAGAGATGTCAATAGTTGCCATTGAGCTTTGTTATGTTACTGCATGACAGCCATTTCTCTAGGATTTATTCTCGGTTTTCATGCATGTGCAGCCTGACTTTAAGGTGAATCATCTGGGAGTTGAGGGTTAGTAAATAGTTACAAGACTCTTCTCTTTGTGCATGTGAATAAACACACAGCAAAGGCATTGTCCAAGGAGAGCAGTCCTTCCTTTTTGCTGTCCCATCATACGACAACAAGGGGTCCCTCAAAATGTCAGTAAATGTCACACAAATAATCAAAAGTACCACTTTCACATGGTATGTAGTCAGCCCATGCATTTTACTGCCATACCGCAAGTGATCAACATGTTTCATACTGAAGCTGTAGACCTTATAGGGCTGAATAGCTTGGACCAGGAGTAACTCGTGTATGTTAGCTCAATAAGGGCAATCAAATCACATGTTGCAAGGCTTGGGAAGGAATAGCACCAGCCCCTTATGTAAAATTGAACAACTGGTTGCACACAATATAGTGGTCTCTTATTCCTTGGGAGTATTGAGGATTGGCCATTGCCAGAGGCAAGACACTGGGCTTGTTTTCACTCAGTATGGCAATTCTTGTTATAGAATCTGTAAAAGGGAGATGGAGTACTTGGGAATAAGCCAAATGAAGGTTCTCTTCTGTCAGCCATCACTTCCCCCCCCCCCCCCCCCCCCCCCCCCCCCCCCCAGCCTGTAACCATGAATTTACCATAGATGAATTTTCAGTTTCTGGTCTTAAATTGTTCATTTCAGCTCCTACTGAAATGTCAAAACTGACAGAGTAGCAGCAACACCATTAAGGTGACATTTTTGCCATCCTCCCCCCCCCCCCCCCCCAATTTTAAGATTTCTAACATACCCTTTTAAATCCCTTAATCTTAAATGCAGATTTTAAAAATCAGTTTATGGTCAAAATATATCAACATTAAGAGTCTCAAAGTAAAGATCACAAACGTTCCATCTTTCACCTTTAGAGTGTCACTATATAAATATTTAATATACATTTTCAAGTAGCTGATTTAACACGTGAAGTGAAATTTGCAATTCTTGCTGTTCCAAACCCCTCCTCCTCCTGAAACATATTTTAAATAAACCAATGTCTCAGTGGCCTCTAGCCATAATTCTTTCTCTCCTTGGAGCATGAGTTTTAGGTAAAACATGAAAACCACAGACCCAGTTGGGACTAGGATTAGTTTTAATCTTGAGGTGATTTTTACAGTTGTAGGACTTCGTATTCTGGGGAATGTGAACTGATGGATCACTTCTCATGGGACTCTTATTTTTTTCCATGAAACACTACCAGTGCAACACAGATTGACCTTGGAGCCCATAGGAGTCAACTTGATGAAGAGCTTAGTTGGAGCTGGAGTGACAATCAGAAGCCAAATGAATCATATCAAGTGTGACCATTACAGGCCTGAAAATGATTCTTAATTAACTACTGATCCTCTGTGGTAGCAAGTTTCCAAAATCTGTAAATTCATAAGGGAACCAGTGAAAAATGTACAAGTAACAATTTACCTAATCTGTTAGCTCTGGTGTGCTGCCTGTTTGAAAACGCTTTATTTTTCTCGTTTCGTTTGGCTCTTCAGAACACTTGCTCAGGACTCTGTCAGTAGGTTCAGTGCAACACTTCAGAGATGAAGTATTGCCACAGCATCTCCATAACGATTTTTAGATTTCATGGCGGCTGCATTTATCGTCAGAGTTTTTTTTTTTTTTTTTTTTTTCCTTTCCCTTTTCTTTTTCCCCAAGGGGTTTTTTTTTTTCTTTTTCCCCCCCCCCCCCTTTTTAATCCTGAATTTAGTAGAGGATGCAAACTCTACTTATTATTCTAAAGGCTGGAATTAATGATGTTTTTCTTGTAATACTAACCAAAAATAAAGCTAGACTTCCTTGTGTAGAACAACAATTTTTTTACTGTGATGTTAACCATATTATTTTTGTATTATAGTATTAATCACCACATTTTCACTCAAATACCAAACTTATTCTCCATGTTCTCTGACAGGCATGTCCAGACATCCTCCAGCTCCTGATATCCCTACCTTCTATCCCTTGTCTCCTGGTGGTGTAGGACAGATAACGCCACCTCTTGGCTGGTAAGATCCTCTTGCTGCTGTTTAGACATATGTTCACGCACATCCTCTCTAGGATTATTGAATGAATTGTAGAATTTATGAACTAAGAAAAACATCACTACAGTGAGAGAAATGACTATTTTATTTTAGTTTGAAAGATCAACATTTTTGATCTTTGAAATGAATTGGATCTGTTTTTTAACATGTACGGAAATTGAAATACATAGATTTCACTTTGAAGTGAGAATAGTTTTTATGGCTCACACTTCTGGGTCTTGACATTTGGTAGGATTGCAGAAAAACAGGTCTCAAGAAACTAAAGATCAATTTTTTTAACAAACAAAATTGCAATTACTTGTAACAAACTTTCAAGTATGGAATTGGTTTTTTTTTTTTACTGGAAACGGCACCAAAATAGAGAACAAACTTTATATTATGTTCCTTACAGAATCGGTAAGATTTGAGGACAGTACTCCGTTACTGGAGAGTTCATATATTTTTGTTAATTTTTAACACTAGCAGTAGAAGGATCCTCATGCTCAGAGTAGGATTCCTTCAGGAGCTAGTATTTACGTATAGTGTCTCCCATCACAGAATGATCAATAATGCTTGAACTGTCTGAGAATCTCCAAACATTTTAGAATGGATAACGTGTGTGTGTGTGTGTGTGTGTGTGGGGCTATCGATAACAAATGTGTGTATATGTAGCTATAGGAGGACAAACTGAATGTAGAGGGGTTAAGTGAATTAGAATCCCATACCTTGTTACTCAATTCTGTGCCCTACCTAATGGTAAGTATTATCATTCCAATTTTAGATTGAGGGGAAACCAACATACATTTCAGACCAGATCATGCAAGGTGCTGAGCAGCCTCTCAACTTAAGGAGCCTGGCTTGTTTATCTAAGGCCTGGTCCACACTAACCCCCCACTTCGGACTAAGGTACGCAAATTCAGCTACGTTAATAACGTTGCTGAATTCGAAGTACCTTAGTCCGAACTTACCGCGGGTCCAGACGCTGCAGGCAGGCTCCCCCGTCGATGCCGCGTACTCCTCTCGCTGAGCTGGAGTACCGGCGTCGACGGCAAGCACTTCCGGGATCGATCCCAGAAGATCGATCGCTTACATCTGGACCAGGAAGTAAGTATAGACGTTCCCGTAACCAAATGAAGGTTCAGGAGAAATGATTGCTCTAAATTCATCAGAGGGATAAACAGCCGGGAGAGAGAGGAGTCTTTAAATTAAGGTCCAAAGTTGGAACAAATGGATATAAATTGGCCATCAAAAAGGTTAGACTAGAAATTTTAGGTTTCTGATGGTCAGAGGAGTGAAGTTCTGGAACAGCCTTCCAAGGGGGGCAAAAATACATAACGTGTTTTAAGACTGAGCTTGATAAGTTTATGGAGGGGATGGTATGATGATTGTTTACAGAGGCAAATATCTCCAATGGCCAGAAATAGGAAACTAGATGGGGAGGGCTCTGAGTTACTACGGAGAATTCTTTCCCAGGTGTTTGGCTGGTGGGTCTCACCCACATGCTCAAGGTCTAATTGACTGCCATATTTGGAGTTGGGAAAGAATTTCCCTCCAGATCAGATTGGCAGAGATTCAGGGAGTCTTTCACCCTCCTCTGCAGCATGGGGCACAAGTGGCTGGCTGGTTTGAACTAGAGTAGAGTAAATGGTGGATTCTCTGAAACTTGCAGTCTTTAAATCAAGATTTGAAGATTTAAGTAACTCAGCCAGAGGTTATGGGTCTATTGCAGGAGTGGCTGGGCAAGGTTTTGTGGCCTGCAGTGTGCAAGAGGTCAGGTCAGACTAGATGATCATGATGGTCCCTTCTGGACATAAAGTCTGAGTCTGAGCTCTGGTTGCTCTGTGCCTTGTGGTATCAGGACAAAAATCACTTGCTGAAAGCCACAATAGTAAGTTAATAGCAAAGACAGAGCATCTGATTTCCAGTTTACTGTTCACTGGTCTCGAGACTGAGCTGCCGCCTCACCACTACCAGATGATTTCTGGTGGTCCTTTTCCAGCTTTGGTTAAGTGCCAGCATTTCTTCTGAATAGTTTCTTGATGCAAAGATTGGGAGGGTGTAGAAGGGAGTAAGGAAACTGGAAGGAAAAGGAGAGACTATCTAATTGTAAAATTTGGAAATCCACTCAGCGGTGCTCACTCATACTTGAACATATTCCCCAATCCGTTATGCTCTGCCGCTTTCCAGCTCAATTCTATGCTGCAGCATTACTGAGATTTCTACTACTTTTTTCTGGTTTTGAGCACTGTTCTCCTCCCCCCCTCCCCCCATACGCATACTCACTTAGTGTGAAAACTCTCAGCCTGAGCATTATAAATGCCAGCAGCTTTGGAAGTCCCAGTTTTAACACTAAATCTGTCTATCAATAAGTGTTTGAATAGAATTGATGGAGCTTAGTCTTTCAAAGCTGGATCAATTATTCTGTCTGAACTTTGTTACTTAAGTGCATTAATCCTTGTTCAAGAGTTGCATCAACGCCAACTGGAAGTAAAGACGATGTGAACTAAGCAGAAAAAGTTCAAAGTGTTTGAAGCATTAATTGGTGATAGAATTCCATATATAGAGACAATATCTTTAAGAAATTCTAAAGAATGGTGGGGTTTCAAATGAGCTGGCTTTAGTCACTTGGTTGAAAAAAGAAAAGGAAAAAAGCCTTAAACCCAAGTGACTAAAATGTACTTTTCATTTTATTTATATTAATAAAATATATAACTTTTCTTTAGCTTTGTAAAAGTGCTGACAACTTGTGACATGCTGTATGAGATGTAAAATGAAGACAGGCCTGGGATTTCAAAGATTTCGTCTCCCTCCCCCCCCCCCCCCCCCAAAAGAAAACTCTCCAAATCGTTCTGTGGGAATCACTGTTAATACACTAACAGTGGGCCAGATTCTGGTACTCATACACTGATTGCAATGGGACTACTGTTCCAGAGGAGTTGAGGGTATTGGAATATGGCCCAATGACTTAAAAATAGGCAATGTTTTTTTGTGTTTAACAAAACCTAGATTACGAATATCTTTTCAGTGGGCGAGAGAGAAATCTTATTCAGTGCAAGCATGTAGACACCCATGAGCTACAGAATACATGGCACATAATTGTTTATGCTACCACGCTGAGTTCCCATCAAGTGCTTGTGACTCTAGGGTATCTTTTAATACAATATCATATTATTGATGGGTTCCTTTCTTCTGTGACCTCAGGCAAGGTCAGCCTGTATATCCCATCTCGAGTGGATTCAGGCAGCCCTACCCATCCTCACTCTCAGTCGACCCTTCCATGTCCAGGTAGGTGTAGGAGGTGAATGACTGACCGGGGAGTAACTGCTGGCATTAAAGGGCAAGTTGCTCTTCTGCTTGCATCTTGGTCTGCCTTTGCTTGCTTTTCAGTCAGCGAAAAATGTATGTATAATTTTTATTTAAAATGTTTGTGTATGTACAGTTTGCCTGGATCCCACACTAGTCTCATTCAGCATTTCCCTGGCAGTCAGTGAAGTATTGAAATTAGAAACACTTATGAATTGTATTAACCGATAATCAAACCATTTCATATCAAATGGGCATTGTTTGTTAGACACAACGTATTAGGAAATACCCCAGTTTTTATTCTTCAAATATGAAACCAGGCAAAACTTCTCATTCTAGTTTGAATAATGTAATTACACTCTTAAATAGTTCAAATTGGGTACTGTGCCATGTGGAAATATGCAGAACTACTCCCAAGTTGGAATTTCTTAGCCCAAAGCTATTAGAAGGAAAGGGATGCCAACAAGCTGTAAATACACACAGTATGTCTGTACTGGTGTGTGAATCAGGCACTACGTTTACATATTAGTGCAAGCAAGCAATGCTAACTGAGACTTGGCCATGCCAAACTCCAAATCTTCTCTGTGTAATGCTTTTGCACTCTGGAAAGATGGCTTACACATCCTGTGCTTGGTGTCCACAAGGTTGCAATGTCCCATCTCTGCATTTTGTTTTGCTTTCACACTGGGCTTTGGATTGTCCACTTAAGTGGTGGGCTCCTCACAACTTTTTATATGGGCTTCTGTGTTTAATTACTCTTCCTCTACTCATTTTCAGGTGAACTACAGGCACGTTTCAGTCAGGGTATCCAAGAGGAAAATAGCTGCTCACCCCACAACAAACTTTACCCCTTCCCAACCTCATTCTGTTGGGTTACTGGGTTCTCTTGTGCAAATCACTGTAGCATAAGCTTTAACACTAACAAATGCAGTAAACTGTTCTCTTTTGGGGCTTGATCCTGCAAGTACTGACCACTTGGGACTGCAATCCAGCAAGCTACTGAAGCATGTGCTTGCTTTTACAGCAGTGAGACTATTTCGCATGCTCAAAGATAAGCATGTGCTTCAGTGCATTGCTTGATTGGAGCCAGAATGCTCAGCACTTTGAGGATCGCACCCCTGATTATGAGGATGATTTTTTTTTCTTCTATCTTAACACAATGAAAGGGAAAGTCATCTAGTTCTGGAAGAACCGGTTGGTTTTCCCTTCCGGAATACCAGATTTCCCTTTAGAGTTAAAAGATTTAGCCCAGAATGTTGGGGAAGTAGGGGTATAGGTGAAATGATCTTGGACCCTTACATGTTTACTTTACTTTAAAATATTTTGAAAAGCAAAAGGTTCTAAACTAAATACCAACATACCTATGGGTTTTTTTGAAAGGACTGTTCTCTTCCTTTTTGCATTTTTTCTTTTTCTGCATGGCAGTTCCCTCCTTTGTTGGCTGGTGATGGATATTTTCAGTATTTATATGCTGCTGTGGAAATGCCCCTTTTGGTTATGGGGAAAGTGTATTTTTATTGATATCTAGTGCAACAGTAGGTATGTTCCACTTCCTTGTGCACATTGCCATCTCTTTATTTGAGAGGTAATAAAATAACTTCTTCAGACCAAAATGTTGGCCTATTTTGAATAAGCTTAGATACAATGCATGAATCTTCGCTAACTAATTTTTACATATTCTTTGTTGCAAGCTCTGTAGTGTTCTACTGCTAATGTACAAGTTTTGGATATGCAGCCTGTTCTTCCTATTGTTATAGACTCTCTACTTGGTTGGTTTGTTTTTTAGGTTTTCACATCATATGATTCCTGGTCCTCCAGGCCCTCACGCAACTGGAATCCCTCACCCAGCTATTGTAACACCTCAAGTCAAACAAGAACATCCACACACTGACAGCGACTTAATGCATGTGTGAGTCTGCCTTTCTGTGCTAGCCCTTAAATCCTGAAGTGTTTGCAGATTAATAGTTAAAAGGAGGGCTGAGAAGTAAAAAACAAAGCAAGTGTTCTTCATGGTCACTCTGAATTATGATTCTGTAAAGTTTGCTATAACTAAAGGGGGGAGTGGATGGCTCATGGGAGGAGTATTGATATGAAGCCTTTATTTCTAGGTCACTCCCTTGAATGTTATCTAAGGTGGTAGCTGCCGAAAGCTGTATTGCCATTTGATGGCTTATCTGAAGCTAGGCTTGTGAGCTGATAGTCAGTTTCTAGTGCAAAGGTGTTGACTGCAAAAACCACCACTATAATTTGGCATCCTTTTTAGCAGATGAACACAAAGGGCTCAAGAAATAAATGGGCAAGGAGACTGAGCTACCTTTTCACCCCTAAAGATGGCCTTCCAGAGCACTGTGGAAACATGCTGGCAGAGTGTTTGTTTCATGGATAAATCAAGTACAATTTCATTCATCGTCAAGGACTGCCAATCCAACACCCTCCTCCTAAATTCAGTCCTAAATACAGAATACAGTAGAACCTCACAGTTACGAATACCTCGGGAATGGAGGTTGTTCATAACTCTGAACAAAACGTTACGGTTGTTCTTTCAAAAGTTTACAACTGAACATTGACTTAATACAGCTTTGAAACTTTACCAGGCAGAAGAAAAATGCTGTTTTTAGTCATTTTAATTTAAATGAAACAAGCACAAACAGTTTCCTTACCTTGTCAAAACTTTTAGTAAATGTTCCTTTTATTTTTTAGTAGTTTAACACAGTACTGTACAGTATTTGCTTTTCCTTTCTTCGTCTTCCTCTTCTTTCTCCTCCTCCTTCCATCTCCATTTCTGGTTCCACATGAGGCATGTGGTTGACCAGTCGGTTCATAACTCTGGTGTTCGTAACGTTGAGATTCTACTGTAAGTTCAAAAGTTGCAGTAGTAGATCAAACATGAGCTCTCAAACTTAACACAGAGTAGCACATCCTTAATTTGAAATTGAAGCTTGAAAATATTCCTCTCAATAACTTTTAGACTAAAGGTAAATATAGGGTTACCATATTTCCACAATCAAAAAAGAGGACACTGGGGGGGAGGAGCCCCGCTCTAGCCCCGCCCCTGCCCTGTCCCGCCCCATCCACTCCCTCCCACTTCCCACCCCCTGACTGCCCCCCTCAGAACCCCCAACCCCCTCCTGCTCCTTGTCCCCTGACTGCCCCCTCCTGGGACCCCGCCAGTAACTGCCCCCTAGGACCCCACCCCCTATCTAAGCCTCCCTGCTTCTTGTCCCCTGACTGCCCCCTCCTGAGAACCCCCCACCCTAACTGCCCCCCTAGGACCCTACCTGTCCCCTGACTGCCCCGACCCATATTCACACCCCCGCCCCTAGACAGACCCCCGGGACTCCCATGCCCTATCCAACTGCTCCCCGCCCCCTGACAGGACCCCCAGAACACCCGACCCATCCAACCCCCTCTGCTCCCTGTCCCTGACTGTCCCAACCCATCTCCAGACCCCTGCCCCCGACAGCCCCCCAAACTCCCGACCCATCCAACCCCCCCTCCCTGTCCCCTGACCAGGGCCGGCTTTAGCAAGAGCCCAGGAATCGGGCTGTGCTCCGGCTGGAGCTCCGGCCAGGGTCGCGGGGCTTGGGGCTGGGCCGGCGCGCTCGGCCGGAACTGGGGCCGCCGCCCTGGGGCCCGAGTTGGGCCGGAGCCGCTGTGGCCAGGGCCGGGGGTGCTCGGCTGGCGCCGCTCGGCCGGGGCCCGGCCGGCGCCGCTCGGCTGGAACCGGGGCCAGTGCCCCGGGACCCGAGCTGAGCCGGGCCGGAGCCGCTGGGGCTGGAGGGAGCCGCTCGGCCAGGGCTGGACTGGGCCACGCCGCGCCTCCTCGGAGCCCCCCTCCTCGCGTGTCCCCCACCGCCCCAGCTTACCTGCTGCTGCCCGCCTGCCCCTACTTGTTTTCAGACTTCCCGCGAACATCTGATTCGCAGGAAGCAGGGGAGGGGGAGGAGCAGGAGGGCGGAGCATTCAGGCGAGGGGAGGATGGGGAAGTGAGCTGGGGGAGGGGTGGACAGCTGTGGGGCCAGGCGGCGTGCTAAGGCTGCAGGGGATGGGGGGAGCCAGGAAAGGGCTTTGGCTGCCAAGCAGCGCTTGGCTGCCACTTTTCGGTCTATAAATAGCCGACCGGGGGGGAAATCAAGGACATTGTTAGATTTTTAGAAATCTCCCCCGAACGGCTATTTAAAGAACGAAAAGCCAGACATGTCCGGGGAAATCCGGACGTATGGTGGCCCTAGTAAATAGATGTTATGTCTTTTCCCCCACCACATTTTAGGAAGCCTCAGCATGAACAGAGAAAAGAGCAAGAGCCGAAAAGACCTCACATTAAAAAACCTCTGAATGCTTTTATGTTATACATGAAAGAAATGAGAGCAAACGTCGTAGCAGAGTGTACTCTGAAAGAGAGCGCAGCTATCAACCAGATTCTTGGCAGAAGGGTATGTACAATAATATGTATTTACTAGTAATTGGTGTATATAGCCTTTTTAGAGGGTTTTAAGGCAAACTTCCTGGCTTGATATGTTGACTAGAATACACATATTAACAGTTAGTAGAAGCAAGGATATGCAACTAAAAATAAAAACTGTTATCTTGGTTTCATGCAGGGGAGTTAGCCATATCATCAGACTTACCCCTCTCTTTTTGACTGCAGCACTGGACATAAAAGTTGTGATTGTGTCTAATGTATATATTACCAAGGACTGTCTTAATATTTTACTAACTCCATCTTGGGAGTAAAAAGCAGGTGGAAAGAGACTTTTATTAGATTCAGTTGATCTAAAAATAAAATGCAAGTTCTAAGTAGGACCACAATCCATCCCTCGGACTTGTCTACACTTAAAATGCAGCAGCAGCAGCATAGCTGTAGCTTCAGTGTAGACACTACCTATGCTGAGAGGAGGGATGCTCTCGTTGTAGATAATCCTCAAGAGGTGGTAGTTAGGTCGACAGGAGGATTCTTTGCTGTCTACACTGGAGGTTAGGTTGGTTTAACTGCATTGTTTGTGATGTGAATTTTTCACATCACTCTGTGATGTAGTTATACCAACTTATCTTCCTACTGTAGACCAGACCTTAGAATTATCCATGCCCAGCATGAGTAAACTAGCCAAGGAGATGTAGTGAAGCTGTGTTACCTTGGTACACTGCATTTTTACTTACTTTAGAAATTATCAGATCAGAATACGTGCCAAGTAACATGATTAAAAAGCCCCTCTCTCTCTCCTCTTTCTGTGCAAGTTCTGAGACTGCCAATAAGATCAGTTTTTCTCTCTTCTTTAGTTTGAGCTGTGCTTGCCAGCTACCTAAAGCCCTTGGCTTTTAAAACCGAGTTTGGTGTCAATGTGATTATGGTTCTGTTTGTAAAGAATATTGTAAAGTTTGCTTCCTGGCTCCATCAAAACATGCTTTTATTTGATTATGATTATTCTTGTATATAAAAAATAATATACTCACCTCCTC